AGGTAACCCCGATTATTGCTAACTTAAGCATCGGAGTGTCTACCCCGAGGATCCACCTCGGGGCTCTGCAGGTCAATCCAAAGTACGGTTGCGGACTGAAGAAGGACTTCCGGTTTGGTGCAGTTACAGATTGCAATCATGGTTACATTTGCTTTTGAGTACGACAGAGTGTTGTGAGATTGGGTGCATTGGAGAGCTTCTATCGAAGATAGGGTTGAGAGAGAGTAAAATTGGGTGTATTGGCTAGGGTTGAGGGATGTTTCTTCACAAGGTAAAATTCTCACTTGGCTCTTCATGTGGATATAGGTCACATGAACCATGTAAATTCTGTGTTCGTTCTTTCACCATCTCTTATCATAACAACTTGAAAATAAAATAACCAGGACAAAATATTTCGATATTTTTCATTAGGAATTATCGGACACCTGAAAGAGCAATTTATCAAGAGCTCAATGCTTTGGTTGCAGGGGCAATAATAATCACAAGAATTGGAATATTTGCAATCTCTGTGCAATTTTAAGTCGTTCTTCATCTTCATAAATCACTTTTTTCGGGCAGGTGTTCAATATCTTTAGTGGTTTAACATTTTTTTTTTTAAACAAGGCAGTTATATTGCTAGATTAGGCATGAAGATACGATTGTATTAACAGTAAGTTATAGATATGGAATGTACTTTTACTCTTTAAAAATTATTTAATAACAGATATACAATAATTTTTTAATACTTAAAATTAAAAATTGAACTTTAAACTAATAACTAAAAATATAAATAATTTTATTATCAACAAGTATACATTGTTAAAGTTGATAGTATACATTGTTAAAGAAAGGGAAAGGGAACTAGGGATATGTTCGGATAAAAATTAGTAAAGGGAAGTGAAGGAAAGAGAGGAGAAGGAAAGAGAGAGAAAGGATTAATATTAATTTTGTTTAGATAAATTAAAAAAGAAGAAGAAGAGGGAGAGAAAGATTATATTTTTTTATTTAATTAAATAAATTAAAAAAATAATTATAAAAATAATTAAAATTTTATAAATTTATATATTAAAATTAAAGTTACAATAAAAATTGTAATTATACATTTGAAAAAAAAGTAAACAAATAAAAATAAAAATAAATATAATTCTTTTAAATCTCTTCAAATTGAAGGAATTAAAAATAAAAAATTCAAAGAGAGATCATCTCCCTCATCTATCTTCTCCCCTTTCGCTCCCCTCTCTTAATATTGTTATCTAAGAAATCTCTCCTTCACTCTCCTCCCTTTTCCCTTGGACTTCCTCGATCCAAAGAAAGGTAAGAGTAAAATAACAAAAATGGAGGTTACAACCTAAAAGAGAACCAGAATAACGGAAAAAAAACTTTTAAAATAAAAATCATAAGGCTTAAAAGGCCCAACAGAGAACCCCCACGCGTCTCTATTAGGATGGGCCCAATTTTAAAAAGCCTATCCAGCCCAAGCTAAATTAAAAGAAAAGGAAAAGGAGAGACAATGAGAGATGGTGCATTTGAATTCGCGGCGAAGGCAAAGGGAAAGGGAAATCATCTGCATTTGGAAAATCTAGAATCAGAAAGGAGAAGTGAGAAATCCAAGTGAAAGAGGAAAAGGGAAAGCTTGAAATATAAGAAAAAGGCGAGGGAAATGCAGAAAACCAGAGTAGCGGCGTAGGAA